GTATGGTATAAATGAGTATGGTGCAAATGAGAATGGATTGAAATATGTGAGTGGTAAAAATATGTATGGTATAAATGAGTATGGTGTAAATGAGAATGGATTGAACACTTGAGTGGTAAAAATAAGTATGGTATAAATGAGTATGGTGTAAATGAGAATGGTTTGAAATATGTGAGTGGTAAAAATAAGTATGGTATAAATGAGTATGGTGTAAATGAGAAGGGATTGAAATATGTGAGTGGTAAAAATAAGTGTGGTATAAATGAGTATGGTGTAAATGAGAATGGATTGAAATATGTGAGTGGTAAAAATAAGTATGGTATAAATGAGTATGGTGTAAATGAGAATGGATTGAAATATGTGAGTGGTAAAAATAAGTATGGTATAAATGAGTATGGTGTAAATGAGAAGGGATTGAAATATGTGAGTGGTAAAAATAAGTATGGTATAAATGAGTATGGTGTAAATGAGAAGGGATTGAAATATGTGAGTGGTAAAAATAAGTGTAGTATAAATGAGAATGGAATAAAATATAGTTGTGCACAGTTTTTGGTATAAATGAGTATGGTGTAAATGAGAAGGGATTGAAATATGTGAGTGGTAAAAATAAGTGTGGTATAAATGAGTATGGTGTAAATGAGAATGGATTGAAATATGAGAGTGGTAAAAATAAGTATGGTATAAATGAGTATGGTGTAAATGAGAATGGATTGAAATATGTGAGTGGTAAAAATAAGTATGGTATAAATGAGTATGGTGTAAATGAGAAGGGATTGAAATATGTGAGTGGTAAAAATAAGTATGGTATAAATGAGTATGGTGTAAATGAGAAGGGATTGAAATATGTGAGTGGTAAAAATAAGTGTAGTATAAATGAGAATGGAATAAAATATAGTTGTGCACAGTTTTTGCAAATCATGGCATTTTTGTAACTTTTGAAATTAATGAAAAGTTTTCAAATTCCTTCTAATTTTCATGAACAAATTGTTGATGCTGTCGGCACGTAGTTTTACGCTGCCAACGTACCGTGCAAAGTTGTTCAAAGTA